GAGAGAGAGAGAGAGAGAGAGAGAGAGAGATAAAAATTGTCAAAAAAAAGAGAAACCCCCCATTTACAGCAAAATGAAAACAATAAAATAAAAAAATAAAAAAGGACCAAAAACCATGAAAATTGCGAAATAAAAAAGGGAACCCCAAAAGGCAGAGATTAAGAATCTAGGGCATAAAAACACAAAACTTACGGTCACTTGGGGCTTGAGTTTGAAGCTGCACACTATGTGACCAAGCTCAACGCTTTGGACCTGGAGACAGCTTCGAATTAGGTCAGTGTTGAAGCCATTTTGATAGGCAATTTCAGGCATGGGTTCATTGATTCCAAGTCGTTCAAAGAATCTGAGGGTACCATCTACCTTAGATGGTGAGCCTTTCAGGTCCATGAACAAGCCAAAGTGAAGAAGATTGCTTTTGGTTTGAACTTAAAGGAATTCAGGCTTAAATATTTTTCCTTAAATCAATATCTTCCGGTCAGTAGGTTGCATCAGATTGGGTTATTTCTTTTTTTTTTTGCTTTGATTTCATACTTTTGTGGGTTCATTTAAGACAAAAGATTTTATGCTCCCGAGGGTGAAAAGATCTCCCAAGGGCAAAATTCATGTTTGTAATATTTTATGGATCTTAAATTTAGGATATAACAGAACAGTCAACTTTAAAGGGAAAATTTTGACTCGCATCTCACTCTTTATGTACCTCGAGAACATAAAAGTCACAAAATTAAAAGGGAACCATCTAATTTTTGACGGGCATGATCAAGGTGGTCAAAATTTCAAAATCTACATTTTTCTTAAAAATACCTAAATGAACCTTGAAATTTTCGAAATTTTGGATCAGAAAAATCCTCCCAAGTAGTAACTTTTTTGCTCAAGGGAGTTGCACGAGCATGTGATAGGTGCTAAAAAAAATGAGTATGTACACTTGCAGGATGAACTTATTTTCGTGGAACTCAAAATTTGAGATCTAGTTTTGAATATATCATATGATTAATTTCATAAAAACTTGCTTTTGAGTTTCCAATCCTTAGATATGATTGTCCAAAAAATAGACATTATTGTTCAAGACACTCTTCTTTTATTTTCGAGGAGCTCAAGGCGCATATCAACTCTTTTTCTTTCTTTTTCCTTTTAAGTTGGATGCCAAGGTTTCCAAAATACTTCAAAACTATAATCTTCATTGATTGTAAATTTGGCCTTACTGATGCCGTGGATGGAGTACCTTAAACAAGTAAATCTTTGTATTATTGTGATGTGCTTTGAAATTGCTTCATTTATTGCCATTAAATTTGCTGTTGTATTTTTTTATTTGGCTTTGCATTAATTCGCCCCCTTGATCTACCTCAATTTTGGTGGTCTTATTTCTTTCCCTCTAAATTATTTCAAGCTCTACTTGGTCCAAATAATTCAGCTCATAATCCACAATGGCAAGCATAGACAGGGTATACCAACTCCCAAAGTTACAGTAAAAGCACTGCCAAAGGCCTCCACAGATGATGTACCCTTACCATTTGCGACTAGAGATGAACATTTCAGTCCAAGCCCATTTCTGCTTGAACATGCTTAAGGGCAAGAAAGATGTAACTCAACTGATCACACTGGCCTGGCAAAACTCAAAAAAAACTAGGTTGGCAGGGATGTATAGCTGCAAAGAAAATGCAAATTCTGTAGACAAAAATAATTTATTGGAAAACTGAAGTTTTTGGAAAATTAAATGTAAAATCCAGAAAAATGTGAAATGAAGAATGTGGTCAGCCAAATCAATAATTGGATGCAATGCAACTTTTCCCAAAAAAAAATCCACATGGGTACGTGTTTGGTTTATGCAGGCTGCGGGCATCACAAAATTTCTTGGTTCCACCTCAAAAACCCACCAAAGAAAACCCCTAGTTCCATTACCCAAAAAATTTTGTGACTGCCTTCAAATTAATGTCCACCTTTGGCAACAAATTTAAAAACTCCGAAAATGGTGTAGATCTAATGGATCCATGGCACACCATGGACCACTTCTGGGGCTTGAAATACTTTTATTTTCCAGATCCATAATCATTAAGGTGGAGATAAACAATTCATAAGTTTCTTGAACTAAATTTACCAACGGGATTTGAAGTGCCGCTCTATAAAGCCACGGCTTCACCCAATACTTTTGCCATAGACATCCATGTAATGGTCAACTCTTAATTCTCAATGAATACCATCATAAGTTGTGTAATCATTAAGCACATGGCCATTAACCATACTGGTTCAACATTACAAAATTAGGCCTCAATAAAAAAAGAAATACATATGCAAGTAGACATTGGACGGCAACAATACTGCCACAAAACAATAACGATGTAACAAAATTAGGGAAACTTTCCAAAAGGAAATCCCAGCTGAAAGTATAGGACTACATAATTTTACATAACAATACAACCTTACCTTCTAGAGACTGGCCTTGCCCAAATCCTTTGCAAAACCTTTCAAGGCTCAAATGTCTCCACTCCACAAAAAGTCAAATTCGTCAACTCCTTAATGGCATCCACGTTACCAGTTGATTAAAAGCAATGCAAACAAAACCAAATATGCCCACATACGTGGACTATAAACCATTTCCACCATTCCACAAAAACACCTTCCACCAACTAGATTCATCAACCTCGTCCATGGAAGAATATGTCGTGAACCAAATCAAATTCCCAAAGGTCAGTTCAAGATTAATACTAACTATGAGTCTTCATCTAATATAAACGCTTCCGACAACCCGAAGATCCACAATAGCAAGGCATTTCCTTGATCTTGCCATCAATGCCCACCACACTATCGAGTGCATAGCCATAATCATAGGAAAGTTCCTGCACAAGAGAGAGGGCAAACCACTAATTTTGTATAGGAACCACAGAAAAAGGGTATATCGGAGGTTCAAACCCTTAACGGCTTAACCAATGATGAAAACCTCAGTGACAAAGAGCAAGACTCACTTGAGCAGGCTTGGATTGAAGGCCCGCCAGCCATGTAGGCCAGGCCCTGGCCTGCAATCTAGACCAGGTCTTATGGATTGGGACACGGGTTTTACCTAGTTCAGCCCGGCCTGGCATGGCCAGGTCCTTCATTTAATTTATTTTCTAACCGACTTTAGAAATAAATAAATAACATTTATTGGCCCAGTCCAACCAACCCTGCCCGACAGCATTAATAGGTCCAGTTGGGCCACCTAGCCCAAGAGTACAGTCAAGCAAAGGCCAGGGTGCCTCAGGCCCTACCCGGGTCCCAGACAATCTCAGGCCAGACCAGGCCCGGCCCGTTGCCACCCTTGTCCAAATATAGAGCCTTGGGATTCACCCTGAGAAGGTGATTTTTTGAAGCAATAAATAATTTCTTTGTTTAAAAAACCCAACCTGAATTGAGACTCTCCTACATTGGATAGGATGACTTGGCTCAGGACTCGAGCATGTCCCAATCTATGCCCATGATTTTAATATATGCCCTGGACCTACCTCATGCAAACCAGCTGTTTGATATAAATTGATATTTATGAGTTACAATTACTTACGGGGAGGAGGGAAAATTATTATGAAGTCAACTATTAACATAAAAAGGGAGAAAAAGGTTTAGTGGGGCATGGGAGGCACATCAAAAGGACGGAGAAAAATAGGGGTACAAGCACGAAGACCATGGCACTTCTATCTTTAAAAGCTCTAATAAGTGCAAGTTTTAAAATCCTAATGACTTCAAGAAGATAAAACTGGCCTATCTCACTCAATAGGACGCATTTCAATCTCTTGCACCAAAGGCTTTCAGTTAAAATAAGACTATAGAAGGGGAAAAGGAAACTCCAGAAGACTTGGCAAGGATGTATGGCCAAAGAAACAAGACCAAACTTCTCCACAAGTAACATCAGACCAATGAAATCAAGTCGCAACACAACCAGCTGGTTCCAAGACAGTTGGTGGCAATATCAAAAGATTACATGTTTCTAGGTAGACCAGTTTAGATTGGGTAAACTGGACAATAAGATCAGGCCCTAAGAATGTAGTCTGAAATATGAAACCTTACATTGATAAGAAAAAAGAACCAACACTCGATTACTTTTGTTTGAACTCATGATCAACACAATCACATGCTTTTGGCAAAGCTTTGACTATCACCGAGGTCATGTTTTATACATTACAGTCGATAAAATACTTTTAGTAGTCCCCATAAAGAAAAAAACAAAAGATTATATTCTCCTAAGAGCATATCTTACATTCACTCCCTCTCCCTCGGCCAAAACCCTATCTAAGAGTGTTCTTGGGACCCCATATTTTGAGGATGTAACCTCTTCACCTAGAGACCAACAAGGAAGAAAGAAACCATATGCACTCTCTATGTGCCCAAAAAAGTAGCACCCTAACATTGAACAAAAACCATCCAATTTTTGGACAGTGAGATCTAAGTGTTTAGAAACTCAAGATTCCAAATTAAAATTAAATAGTTTCTGCACTTGTTATCAGAATTCCTTTTACTAGAGGGAGGACATTTATAGTGTGCTCCAGTAAAAGTACACTAGATGTGCGCAGAGAAAAAGTATGCCAAAATTCATACTTGAATTGTAGATAATATATATATATATATATATATATATATATATATATAATCAAGGCATTGTAGCTATCCCTTAGAAAGGGTTTGTGTGTGCGCACACTTGCATACAATTTAGATACCAATAGTTCTAAATAAAATAATCTACTCTTTCAGCCTTGTGTTGTGAAAGCCTCAAATGGAAAACCATAGGTTAGGGTTACAATCTGCACAATTGTCACAATGTTCATGTATTATATACTCCTAATAATATTCTTGATTACAAACTGAATCTTGTTTTTGTTTGCTTTTTTACTTCTCTATAAATGAAGGATTAGGGTTAAGAAGGAACCTTCTCTAATAAACTATCGATAGAAGAATCTAGGAACACTACAGCAGCCAAATCTAATATAATAAGAGTATCTCAAAAATGGGATTTACATACAACGTAGTGCTCACAACGTTCAAAAAAAGGGATTCGGGAGCCTACGCTGTTTGGGTGCCTGGCCGCCTAGGCAATCCAATGGGCACCTAGGGACAGGGTGACTCACCAAAATTAAAACTTCACCCCCCCACCCCCCCCCCCCCAACATAAAAAAGAAGGGAGTTCTTTAATGAATAACTGAATATATAAGACATTTTAAGACTTTAGTTGCACTTTCACATAAGACTTAAACCATTAAGATATCACATAATCAATTATTTTATCAAATAAACAAAAACAAAAACAAAAAAATATCAAAAAAAGGCACATTGTACAAAAAGAAATCAATTATTCAAAAAATAATACGATATATGCTCAATTTCATCATCCAAGTGAAAAAAAAACAATAAATCACCAAAAAAACCAATCTTTTAACTACAAATATGTAAATATATCGTAAAAGAAAAAAGAATATTAGAAAAAACACATTATTCATAACATAATATCTTGTAGCAAAATAAAATCAAAACAATCTTTCAAATATGATAATACCTTAAAAATATCAAAATCAAATCAATGTCGGTGCAAACTTCGTCTATTGAGTCCCAAAAAGTTCTCAAAATCAACTACTAGAAGCTCCAAATCCACCTACGAACTATTGTTTTTGTTTAGGGAGGAAACTGAAAAATAAAAATTTTATCAATCTTTTGATAAATCACAAAAGAGTAGTTTTGAGGGTTTTTCCTCACCCTAAGGCCACGGATTTTCTATTGAGGGTTTAAAATATCTCCTAAAACCCTTTTCCCCCCTTTTTAGGGGTTTAAAATATCTCTTAAAAGGCGAGCGTCCAAACAATAGCGCCTAGGCAGATGCCCAGACAATAGCACCTAGGCGGCGCCTTGATCGTCTAGCCGAGCGCCCAAAAGCAAAACGCATAATACCCCTGCCCAAACTACGCCTAGATGTTTTTTAAAATTTTCCGCCTAGGCGGTCGGGCAGCAGCATTTTTGAACATTGAGTGCTCATAAGTTCATTTAAAGTCAATGAAAGTAAGAATGGGACAAAGCATAGGTAACACAACATGACGTTTTGAGTTCCATTCATTCCACGGATAAAGGACCCTTTTCCCATTGAGTTACCCCAAAATAGAAACAGAGTTAATGAATTGCAAACAGTAAAAAATGTCAAACTTCCATAGAACAGTTGCTTAATGCTTTGAAGATAATGAGTAGAAAATTAGAAATCAAGTAATTGTCAAGGTATAACTAAACCAACCACACTAACAAACTGAGGCTTAACTTGCAATTTATTTGACAAAAAACAATGCATTATGAAAGGAGTATGCATTAATTCGCATTCAATGAAGATGTAAAACAATAGTTGCAATGTTAAAATAAAACACACAAGGCATTAAAATCAAACGGCCTGCTTGTGTCACAACATCAGCATAAGAAAATCATATGGAAAGCATTTGATGAAAACACACAAAGAGAAGAACCACCTAATATTAACCATGCATTAAAACAATAATGCATAACATTCTTGAAGCACGAGCTTTGCTCAAGGTTATTAGATGGTTCAATCGTTCATGGGGGCCTTCAATCAACATTGAAGGGGACTCAAAGAATCTCATTCACTGGGTGTCTCACTTAGCATAATTCCCTTGGAGACTTTGGCACATCTTTGATGAAATTTACAATCTCTGCAAGGGTACACATGCCTCTTGGACCCATATCTGGAGGAGGGCCAATCGCACAACTGATGATCTTGCTAAACTGAGAGCAGCCATGAAGTAACTGGGTCCTCTAAAGTAGCAGCCTTAGTCTGGCACAGTTTTTGTGTTTTTATTTGTTTTTTATGTAATGGTCGTGGTTTACATTTATTGCTCTTTTTTGCTTTTGTCATCTTTCTAGGTGACTCTTCCTCTTGGGCTGTTTGTTGTCTCTGTACTCTCTCTCCCATCAATACAATGTTAAATTCTCTCAAAAGAATGGCATAACATCATACTCAATGAATGCACAAAAACTTACTACACAAATACTTACTTTGAAATCACTATGAATATGAATGTGCAGAGGGCATTCCAATCAAACAATCTCCTAAGTTTTATCACATCACATGCAATATTAAAAAATAAAACAAATGGCGATTTATAGTTTGATTGAGGGCATGGCCCTTGATAGAGTGAAACGGTGGAATAGGTATCATGTAGCTGACACCAAATAGTTGGGATAAGGCTCGGATGATGATGTTGAGACGCAATATAAATCACAAAAGAAGCATTCAATTACTGTGGGTAGATAAAATGAAGATTTTCCATTACCTGTAATGGCGGAATGTTGTCTGAGGCAAAAAGCATCACCCGTGCAAGCTTCATATCATGGTGGGAGCTTAAGACACACTGTACAAAGAGATTTGGTTCACAACTGTGATTGATGAATCTAGCAACACTCCCACAACTTCCTGCATCAATACAAAACTCCACAGAGCCCTCTAATTTCTTATCTTCAATTTTCTCAAAATTAGCTGGGTTATGTATTGATACATCTCCAAATCTCCTCTGAAAAAAATGTCACAAAAAGGATATAACTTATTTTTACATATCCATAATAGGAAACCTTCAAAATGGATCATCAAGTAATATGAATAATATTCCCCAAAAATATTTTATTAATTAAAAAACAATTTTCAATCACTCAGTCAATATAGTAATATAGCAAACTAAAGAATAGATTAAGCAAAAAAAATCTTAACATATTTGTGTCATGGATAGCATCCAAGCTAACTTTGTTGAAGTTTAATATATTATCCCAAAATATTGGGCTCTTAATTAATTTGAACAATGATTTAGAAATAACAATCGTGTCAATGGCTGCATCATAAGATGATCATCATCATTATCAACATCATTCGAACCTTATCCCAACTATTTGGGGTTGACTACACGAATCTTATTCCACCATTCTGCTTTATCAAGAGCCACACCCTCAATCAAACCATAAGTCACCATATCTCGTCTCATTACTTCTATCTATGTCCTTCTGAGCCTTCTCCTTGTCCTATAGGAGCCTTCCACTTGAACTTAATTGCCCCTCCCAACTAAAGTTGTTCCACGTCGATGTTACACAAGGCCAGCCCACCCAAGTCCACTTTATCTTATCTTGCCTATTGGAGCCACACCCAAGTTCCCTTGGATGTATTTATTCTGAATTCTATCCTTACTTGGTTGTGCATCATATGATAGGAATTGCAAAAAACTTGATGAATGCGTTGTATGGCCATAGAACTTGAACTTTTGCTTTAAACGTACATAATAAGATGTCACTTTGCACATTAACGGCAGAGAAAATCTTAGTTAGTCACTCCTCAACACTAGGAGTCTTTGTGCATACTCAGTTTGAGGAGCAATTTCAGTAAAAGAAAGGACGATAAAACCAATCATGTGTTATTATTCTTATCTAAGTTAAACAACGCAATCTCAAAACACATCAGGACCTGATGGGACTGCTCTCTCCTTAGAGATAAATTTGTGAAATGCGAAAAATATTAGCAAAGATGTGGAAAACACTTTGAAATTTCAAATCCCACTATAGTCCACACAGCCAGAGTAGTATTGTAGGAATAGAATGGTTGTCCTAGAAGAGCAAATTTTCTAAACAAAAACTAAAATTCTAAACTAGACCTCCAACTAAATAATGTCACGAATTTCATGGCAATCATAGAGTTTTAACCTCTCATACATGAGCAGGGAAAAACACATCACAAAAACAGTTGGATTTCATCCAAACCACAAATGTGACGAAATAGTTGATCATACATCCCGAATCTTTCAAAATGATAGATTACACCTGATTAATTCCCAAGCATACAAATCCTAAGAAAGTTTTTTTTTTATACTAACAATAATCCCATTGGAGTTCCACACAATAATTGGCAAATGTAAGCAGGTTAAGAGTAACGACATAACAATTGTCATGAAAAATAAATCCTGATTACAAATGTTTCAGAAAATGAAAGGCAACCCCTAGGTGATCGGCCTAATGCCCAGCATCTAAGCGGGTCATCCATAACATTAAGCATCCTGATGTGAAATTTTTTTAGAAATTGCATTTGTTATCCAAACACACATATATGCAGATATTTGTGTTAGTTATGTATTTTTTTGCATTTATATGTATTACAACTAACTTTTTCCATGCGAATATATACGCATGAATGTTGAAACACATTCAAAACGTCAAATCATTGAAACTTTAGGGAAAAAATACAAACAAGTCCATTGTACTAGTCGCCAACTCTCCAATCCATACTCCATAGTAATATACAATCATGATATATACATGATATATGTTTTTTGATGTTTTTGATGTTGATCGAGCTAGAACTAACAGAAGAAGTCTTCTAATACATTTATTAGCACCCTAAAAAATATTCCAATAATAAAGGGTAAACTTCTGGATGCTTCTTTAAACCTCATATATATATTTTTTGTCAATTCATAGAAATTTGCAAAATCAACCGATTTAGATTATAGGGTTTAGATATGATTTTTTTCATGTTGAGGATTTAGAATCCCCAAACACCCTTTTTAGTATATTTCATGGCTCCAAATGACCTCAATTGTAGCTTTATTATTTCCACAAAAAAGGGACGAGGCCTTTGGGGCCCACCCAAGACTGGGTGCCCGCCTTGGCTGCCTGAGCGAGAGCCCAGGCCTATGCATGCAGCCTATGACCTTTTGGGCGCTTACGCACTGTGCAACCCATTTTTCTAAACAATCTATCTTAGCAGTCACCAGTCATTTTTTTTCCAACAGTTCATAACCATGATTTTAATAGCTAGAGTTCTGTCAAATCTAGATGGCCATGGGCATTATAACAGTTTTTCAATTTCTGTCTTTCTGCTTCTTCCTAGAAAACAGCCGTCACCATTATAAGGTGAAATAATAGTCACAGCCATTGTCACAGTAAATAATGTAATCTGAACCTTGCATTCTAGCAGTAGGTATAATTGGAAATGAAAATTTGAAAACATGTAGGCGAATGCTCAGTCACAATATGCAACCAAATTTCTGAAAGTGTATGATAAAAAGGAAACGCATATCTCACAATACCCAAAACATAGTACCTGTCTTCCATCAATCCCTTTTATGGTTTGCAGGCAATCAATGTCAAAAATAAAGTTGTTCTCTGTGTCATTGTCTGCTTCATTTGTCCGCATAAGTAAACCTGTATATTCGCATACGGGTGCCCCAGAAGGTATGGTATCCCAAGACCTAACAGCCCACCCTTTCTTTGGAGTTCGAAATACCTATTATAGGAAGAACCCGCGAGATATTAGCAAGGAAACAAGCACCTGAATGTTTACAAATTAAGGGAAAAATAGAAAAGAAAGGAACTTTCTGCAACCATATGACCCCCGAAGTACAACCTCAAGTCGGTATCTAAGTCCTCGCTGAGAGGTTCGGTTCACACAATCAGGTCCACATCCACAGTTTGGACCACACTCATATATGACATCCTTTGCTTGCACCAACCTATTCCGAAGAGGGAAAAATGAGATACAATAATCTAAAGCAGCACAATGCAGAGACATGATCAATCATTTCACTGCATAAGTACATATTAAAACCATGTCAGGAAAAGTCACAATGAAGAAGCTAAAAGACTTTAACGCTATAGATGTAGATAGCACAAGGAATCATGTATACATGAACAAAGCTTAGAAATGTAAAATGGTTGCTGTAACATGGATAGAGTTATAATGAAACAACTAAGAAACCATATCTAGAGCATCCAGTACCTCAGAACCAAGATGCCACCACTAAAAAATGCACCTCAAATTTATACTCAAGATCATATGAGAATCAGGAAAGAGCTTATCCAAATCTCACTGGACTCATTGCATCCATCATGGTGCCTGTAGACTTCATTCATTAAAACCCCAAAAAGACCTAGAACTGAAAATACTACCAATAAGCACATCAACATTTCAATCCAAAAAATTGAGCAGTGTAAGATACTTCTTCACATCAATGCATATTATGCATTGAACAGTGTATACAGTCTGATCGTGTGTGAGCAAAGAAAGTAATAATAATGAGTGTATAGACCACTTTGTCAATTTTCTCCTCTTTTGCGGCCTTTTAAGTAACTTAGCCATACGTGATTGTAATATAAATATAGTATATAAGCTTTCAAAATGCTATTTTGATACAAGAGGTCATCCAAAGATGGATTTGGCGCGAGAAGATCATCAATGCACTTCAATGATAGTTATTCTGCCGAAAACTGAGAGGCTTTGAACAAAGAGGAATAATTATAGATTTAAAGTGCAAGGCAAGAATGTGAAAGGGATATCTGAGGCCAAAATAAGCGACAATATTGATTAGTTGCCACAAATTTCCTTTTCAGGGTTATAAAGCTAAAGTGTTTGATCGTAGTAGGATGATGATGATAGCTCAAAGGTCAAAGACTAAAGAATCAGTTGATTAGGATTTGGAATCCTTGATCAATAAAGCAGCAGTTGGAAGAATTCCCTAAAAGAAAGGCATGCCTCATGAGGTTTGAGGGGATATTTGTGATGAAGGCAAAACTGCAAAAGATAAACTAGCTCTCACCAGAAGAGCAATGACGAAGGTGGAAGAACAGACTACATACATGGAAAGCTGTCTTCGTTTCGAAGGCTTTTCTAGATATATGATGTGATCAATGACAGAAGTCTTAACGTGATAAGATGGCAACGGAGTGAGAATCAAGTATGAAGGCTACTAGGCAGCGCATTAACTAAGGTAAACATCTTCTTTCCAAGAATGAGATGTGGTCCAATGAGAAGGGACCCAAGACGCATAAATTAGCAACCGCAGACTGTATCAAGATAAGGGTTGGGACTACTAAAATGTTGCTTCCAAAAGACATATCCAGGTGCGCTGTGCATTGCGACACTTGTTAAATTTGGCTTTGTCATTAGATAGATAAATCATTTGTATAATGAATCACTACTTCCATAAAATTTCCTTCTTCTTAATGAGGATTCCACACTCTTTGAATCTAACAATCAAATCATATTCATGTCAAACTTTGCCTCTACTCTCTAGGGAATAAAATGACCACACATAAAAATAAATAAAAAATAAAAAACAAAGAACCTCTTATTCAGTATCCTACACATTTTCAAATGCATACAGTAGAGAAACATGCCACACCATTTGAAACTCAAACATCAAGAAAGGGAAGTGCATACTTCTCAAAATTTTCCCGAAGTATCACAAGAGAACATGAAGCTACAGTTTGATATCCAATTTTCAAAGGACATCATATATTAAGAATGACACATCAACCCAAGCCAAAAAACAAAAAATTCAAGAGTTCTGAGAAACTGTAGAGCCAACCAACCTTCCGCCATTTTTGCTTACATAGGGGAATTCTGAACCATTCAATCTTGCACAAGCACATCGTCTTGAATCCACACAATCCCCACTGCATTGACATCCTTCCGCATTTGGCGGGAGAGTAATGCCTCTTCCCACTTTAATCGATTTATAGTATGTGAAACCTATTCAAAATTAGATAAACACACTCAAACACAATAGAACTTACAAAGATGGATTGGACGACAACCTTAACAAATTAATAAGGTGTGTTAGTTATTTATTCCCAACCCCACAATAAAAACAAACACTCAATACCAGTGCATCAAATTCGCTTTGGTTAGCTCTATCTATATATCATCTATATGTGTATACATACACACACACACATATATATATATAGGGAAATGCTGGCGTAGGCCCACTAGCCTACAGCTACATATGAGCCTAACGGCTTACATTGAATCTGGACCGATCCAAAGATCACGATTGCATTTCGAATTTGAATTTATTTTTTTTTATATAAATCCATATTAGTTGAAATTTGGATGTGTGTTTTTTTAAAATATTACAATCCAATAAAAATATCAAACAAATATTTAGTGAAAAATAAATTGATCAAAATACCCCAGAAACATTTCAAGGGTATTTTGACCAATTTATATTTTACGAATTATTTTTTTTAGGTGTTCGTTGATGAGAAGAATAGATGCCTAAAATTTCACATGAATTGGATTTGTAGAAAATAAAATAAAATTTAAATACGAAATGAGGTCATGTCCGTCAAATCGACCCAGATTATTGAGCCTACATGTAGTTGTAGGCTAGTGGGCTCACACCAACAATTCCAATATATATATATATATATATATGTATACAGGAAAATGCCAAGATTAGCCCACTAGCTCATATGAGCCCAACGGCCCAGATTGAATTTGGACCGATCAAATGATTATGACCTCATTTCGTATTTTAATTTTAATATTTTTTTCTACAATACCAAATAACTTGAAATTTTAGGCATGAATTCTTCACATCAAGGCACACCTAATAAAAACATTCTAAAAATAATTCGTAAAAAATAATTTGACCAAAATACCCTCAAAATGTTTCAATAGTATTTTGGTC